TATCATCGACGATTTCAATCCCGTCTTCCAAGCCGTGGTGCGTTGAACGCACCACCGAAACGGGGGCGGAAGAATGTAGCAAGAATCGGGGGGGCGTGCGCCAAGAAGGCAATACTGTATGGGGAAATCCGAGACTAACAATTGTAGGGGTCTTCGCGCGTTTGTCATACTAGGATTGTATAGCTTTAGCGGGGTCAAAATCACAGGTTTTTGACTACATTGTACAGCATTTTTGCCACTGCTGAGAGGCCCCCTCCCTGATCGCCCTCAGTCCAAGAAGGGGGCGAGGAGAGGGCGAGGAGAGGGCGAGGAGAGGGCGAGGAGAAGACGAGAAGGGCGGGGGGGGGGAAGGGAAATAATAATTTAAAAAAAAGCTTGCCGTTTCGGGGCGAATAGGTATGAGAGGCTGGGCGTCTTGGAATATGAGTGGTGGCCGCGAAGACAGTGCAATTAGCGGCTCTGAAGCATCGTGGGGGCGGGGCGCGAGCATTGGCCGCGCGTACGTGGTACCAAGGGTACGCCTTGCCTTTTATCCATCAAAACTACAGTATAAAAATCCCCATACACCCCCTCTTCCGGGGGCCTCTCTTCAATCCCCGCATCCGTGCTTTATGTGCCGAGCCTCTGCCCGCCTGCCCCTCCGCACCGAATGGCAGCCTCCATGCGTCCGTCAGCGCGCGACACCGCCACGCTCGCCGCGCTCCCCTCCTTCAACCTCTTCACCACCTGCTCGAGAGCGTCGCGCCTGGGCTCGCGCTACCTGCAGCACGGCATGGGCCGCCGCCAGCGCGCCGCACGCGCCCCCGCCGCCCCGCCGGCCCCGCCCGCAGACGGCCAGGAGCTCGACATTGACGCCTTCTCGCGCTCGCTGCACCCCGCCGCACTCGCCATCCGCGACGTCAGCAACGACGGAAACTGCTTCTTCCGCGCCGTCTCCGACCAGCTCTTCGGCACCGAGGACTACCACATCAAGCTCCGCGAGCGCACCTGCGATTACCTCCTCGCCAACAAGGACCATTACCAGTTCTTCGTCGACGACGAGCAGAGCTTTGATGACTACGTCGCCGACATGCGCACCGACGGTGTATGGGCCGATAATCTTGAACTGCAGGCCGTCTCCATGGCCTACGATGTCAACATAAGGGTCCATCAAAGTGGCAAGCCCTCGTATGACATTCGCAACCACCACGCAAAGAATGCAAAAGTCATTCACTTGTCCTACCATTTCGGAGAGCATTACGCCTCAGTCCGCCCGCTAGCCACAGCCACTTTGAGCATACCGGCCCAACACGATCCTCTTCCCTTACCCCCCCCCTCATCCTCGCTTTCATCCAGTTCCACCTCTCTCTCAAGCAGTCAAGATGGCCCCGCCTCCCCCCGCCGTCCCCGTCACGGAAATACTCTCGACACCGATAACGTCGCCGCCATGTGGAGGAGAGCAGATCGCAGGCATTGCGAACTGTGCTCCTTGGTCGACAAGACCCGTAGGGCTGCTCGCACCACCCGTCTTGCCGAGTCAACAAACCATTCCATGAGCACGAAGAAAGAAGTCGCCAGAATTGTCGAGCGCGATATGAAGGAAGCCCTGGCGGGCCTGGAGGAGATTGGTCAGCTCATCATGGATGGCAAGGTCGAACATCGCATGCGCATGCAAAGGCTCTCAAGAGAGCACCGCAACCGAGCTGCTCAATCTGAAAACCCGGCCGAGACGGATGACCACCCCACTAGAAACCATACCGACCCGGCCAAAGAACAATACATCCATCATGTGCGCACCAAAGCAGAACCTATCTTCCTAAAACTCGCACAGACGGAGCAGGTCACTCGCGTCGCCCTGCAAAAATTCAAGTCAGTCACGGCGGAACACCAAGCCCCACGCTCTTCCACTGTCCATGCTGCACCAAAGCACCACCGCGGCGGCAAGAAGAAAGAGCAGGATGCCAAGCGCAGGGAAAGGAAAGACCGCCGTCGGAAAGAGCAGGAACAGATTGCCAGGGCGCTGGACATTGCAATCTAGACCTTTGCAACACCACCCCCTTTGCTTGTACCTGCACTAATACTGTACAGTATGTAGAGAGTTTCCGCAACACGACTTGTGGATTAACAGTGGCAACCCGTGTTCCGACTCGGGCTATACTGTATAGAAAAAGGATACCACTAGCCGCTGTTTGCAGGTAGAGTTAGAAAGAAAGAAAAAAAGTTAAAAATCGTCATCGTCATCCCACTCAGCAATCGGATCATCCGCTTCCTCTCCAACTACATCCATGCTGTTCCCGACGTCTGCCCAGACCCCCTGTTTGGAGCTGTCCGCAACTGTAACGTCGTTTTCTGCCTTCGCCATAGGAACACCGACGTCATTTGAAACGCTACCGCGTCTTGTCACTTGACTTGGAAAAGTTTCATATCGAGACATGCGACACTGTGTGATTTGTTCACAATATGGAACTACTTCACAGAGCGTCGACTGCGTATAGACCATAGGAGCTAGCCTACCAGCAAACTCACGCTGCACGCTTGCCACATGTGCCCGACTTTCTCGTCTGACCTCGTATGACTCAGGACCTCGAATGGGGCGCCAACCGGTTCGGCACGGCTTCGAATTGTGCAAGAGAAAGCCCCTCGTTCCCAATGACGCAGCGCAGTCCCAGAGCCCAGTTCGGGACAGGTCATCCTGTCTCCATTGCAGGAAGCAGTCGGCTTGCGATAGAGATTCCAGAGCCCCAACTACATCATCAATTTCAGTGAAGAAATCCGGGTAATTGTGGTGAAGGAACTCAAGGAAGGATGACGGATCCGCTTTGGCATCCATGAGAATGTCCTCCACGTTGTACTTTGACCGCCCGTCAGCATCTCGCTTATTGTTTAGGATCTTCGACACGGCATGATACGTTCCCAGACTGCTATCCTGACCGACCGAGTCTAAAGCATTGACAACTCTCGCAGAGTTTCTTTTCCGTCGTTTGGTTCTCTTTCTGTTTTCAACTCCGCTGTGAGAGAGCCCATTACTTGAATGTGTTCCCAATCCAGAATCTGAGCAGAACTGTAACGCGTTGAGAGCGGCTCGGATGTCCCCTCGAGCCATCGCCACAGCCCCTTCTAGTTTTTTTTGAGAAAACGAAAGCCCCTCGCTCTGGAGTACACTGCGAAGCCTTTTCTTCATCATACCATGAGTGACCCCCGGTACCTTGATGCAAGCCACAGCTGATGACGCAAGAAGATCTGCACCAAAGACAAACCGTACTGTTGAGGCAACGCCCTTGTCGCTATCTGATACAACGACGACCGTAGGATACGAAGAAAGCCGAGCTGCATCCGCAAAGATCTTCTGGATCATGCTCCGCTTTTGCGCAATATCTGTCGTGCATACAGGTAAATCTTCGATTAGAACAATCTTCCGTCCCGACCAATCCATCGGCTCTGATTCTGAGTCTTCGCCCACAAGAGCACGGTAGCGACCGCCAACAAGGAACGCGCGAAAATCATCAATTAGCGTCATTGATATGTTCCTAAAACCAGTGACAGGCGCCTGCCAGCTCGAAACCGCGCATTCCATTTCCTTCGCAGCGGCTCGAACGGCTGAGCTTTTCCCGCATCCCGGTGGGCCCGTGAGGATGAGCAAGCGTGGGGTTATTCCATCGAGAGCCCCTTTCATCCAATCCTTAATCTCATTAGATTTCTTCGCTGAAGCTGCTAAGCCACCCTGTAGAGAAATGGAAGAGTATTTGTGGACCCATGCCTTTCCGTCTTGCGGCAAGGGCTGTTGTGAGAGCGAGATTCTGTCTGAAAGAAACAGGTCGTCCAAATCTGGTGCTTTGCCACTGATAGCTTCAAAATCAGAGTCCCCAGAGCTGTCGCCGTCGAATTGTCCGACTTCTTCCGCAGACTCATCATCCGAGATAGATATTCTGAGCCTCTTGCGCCGGCCCTTGAAGACCATCAGGTAAGGCGGCCGTTGGCCTCGTCATGTAAATCGAACGCTTCCTGTCGTTTCATGTGGGCGAGCTACACAAGTAGTGACTCTCAAGGAATTGTTCAACGCATCGCACAGATCTTGGAAATAGGGGATACGTGGGTCCTCTGCTTGGGGAAGAGAAATCGCATCAGTTGGACACCTCAACGGAAAAGATGTAAATTAGTCTGTCCCGTTGAGCCCGATGTGCGAAGAGAAACAGATATTGTACACCTCAAGAAGATTTTTTGAATAATAATTCAAATATATTGTGACACGTGTAATAGAGAAAACAGGACGGTCTCCATAAATACTACAATAGTCGTACGTGAAAGCTAGCTCTACTAGTAGTGAACAAGAAAGCTCAATCGGCGATACAAACCGTAGGCCGCTTACGAACTTCGAAACAACTTTTGCGATAATAGAAAGGATATTCGATAGAGTATTGCAACTTCGGCTCCCACGGTTGGCAGAGAGGAAACGGGCACTACGCGTTTATATCATCGAGAAAGTGTTAGTGAATACTCAAAAGCATCTTATCAATATCTTGCAGCTGAACTAATCCTTTATGAAGTGGCCTTCGAAAAAGCTCTTCAAACCTGTCCAGTCCTTCGAGTTATGAAGATGTTGCAACATTCACTCGCTTTGCAACACATGGTGCAGTGGTTTTCGTTGACAGCGGGAGTGTGCAAAACTGCGGAAGCAGTAGATTTTTTTCATGTCTAGCTATGCATCATTCGAACGAATTCCTCGCAAAACAGGGTGCTAGCGTTCACGGTGCATACTGTGGAGCTCTTCCTTTACCAACACTTTCGATAAATCGTACCTGTTCCGCGTGCCAATTCGAAAGAGCCTACGCATATAACCATCTGCACATACCAGGAAGAATAGAAGTAAGGCAGTATTTGAATAACACTATACTTCACTTTGAAGGGAGCTCCGGCTGAAGCTCCCATGCACCAAAGGGGCCACTTATCGGTGATGTTTTCCATGTTCTGTCAAAACTTAGCTTTACCGTTCCCTCAACTCTCATGCAACCTAAGTCACCGAGGGATCACTAAAAGAAGTTTGATGTTCCTCTTATTCAATTTCACTTGCAAGGCATATTTTGCCTATCAGAACAATTCTTCTTCGAGATTGAGTGTTTGGCATGCGGTCGTTTTATGAGGTGCTGTGTGTGAAACGCACCTGGTAACGGATGAAGCTAAAGAGGAAGCATTCATTCATCCTATGCAACCATCAATCGAATCTCCCAGGTTGACGGACAATGCACGCATGATCTTATACTAGAAATTACAGGCGTTGAGGACGCGCTTAGCAAGGCTGCATTGTGAAACAACAATTCGATCTGGGAAAAATGTTTGTGTCTCAGTTTCATCTTGTTTGCAAGGAAATACGTTTTCATGGACATGGGAGTGATCTTGAAGTTATAAATGAGGGGTGCTATCCGGTGCTTCTCTTATCTATTGCTCTTTGCGTCCCCAGCAGATTCGATATTAATACAGTACCGTACCAGTATAATAATTTCTTTTCATCTCCATTCGAAAAGCTCATTTTTAAAGAGGTTGGTGGCGCGGTCGGAATATATTCTTAGAGGGATGCTGTGCACATCATGTTCAGCGATTGCGCACAATCGATTACAACCTTGTGTAGGCATGTGATGGTACTGTACAGTAGTCGGCTGGTTTCATGGGATGGGTTATGGACAGGGTTGGTCCGCTGTGGTGAAGTCGGACCAATCATGACAATCGATCATGTCGTGTCCCTCTTCGAAACGTGTGCATGTGTGAGTGGCTGCACTTCAAGCTCAAACAGAGAGTGGACCAATCTGCGAGCGCATGGCTCGTCCAGCTCCCTTCAAACAGCTCCTTCTTGACCAAGGAGCACACCGACATGACCGACATGACCGAATCCCAAGAGTGCCCTTAATTATAATTAACAGTGCTTATCCCGAATCTTTCCGGTGGTACTTGGACATCTTCTAATGAGAACCATGCTTCAACTCGTTTCCACTACTGTCTCTATCTTCTCGATCGAAGATGGTTGAACATCCTCTCTTCTTTTTACAGGATAGCTGGATACGCGGAAAGGCAAAAAATCGCTGCGCAGAGCGCGAAGTGGGTTGGGTTGCACCAACCAACCTTCTGGTGCTTTCTCGCTGCCCTGTTACACCATATCCGGAGGCGTGACTGAGCAAAACGCCGTTTTGCTTGACGCGAATACCAACCTCGTGGTCCAAGTGATGGTACCAATTCGGTTTTCTGCTATAACTTGTGAGTTCAGCGTACTCTTTCACACACATGTAGTTGGCAATACTCTGGCACGGATGGGACTCGAAATAACCTGGAAAATTCTCTGCACTTCAGCCAAGGCTCGAAAGGATTTTGGTCCTTGTTCTGTCTCACTCGGAGGTCAGCCATTCATATGACACAACCAACTCTTCATCTTTTTTTATAAAAAAGGTATGCTGAAGTGAGTAGAACATCAACTACAGTGACGAATAATGGATTCATGTAGAGATGCAGCATTGAGCGAAATCCCAAGAGATTGCTAGTTCTTCCTAAAACAACATGGGCGACTCAAAGGGGCTTACAAGTTGCGGTTTTTCGTACACTGATCAAGAATCCATGTCGAAGAAATCTCCTTGCCTCCACCTGATAGATCTCGCCGAGAAGAATCCGTCCTTTCCTTCTTCTGTCTTTCCTCATCCACGACACACATGGTCGCCTCACCATCTCCCAAATCCTCGGACGGTTCTCGATTGACAACTATGCCACCTCCAAGACTCACAACGGACATTAAATCGTCTCTCATTTCCTTGCTACCATTATACCATCCAAAAAAGAACCTCATACTTTCAAAAACTGGAGGCTTGTCCTTTGGCCATGTCAATGGATGGACGTATGCCTCCGCCGCAACCCACACGTCAGCTTTCATCGACTTTTGAACCCATTTCCAGCACATGATTGGAATTCTCGCTGCCACAGCTTTGCACAGCTTCATCGTTCGAATTGGGGTGTCCTCTGTCGACTGTGCTCGGATAACCATGTATGTTACTCGGCGATCAACGTCCGTCCTTATCATTGCCTTCTTGACTTTCGCAGCTATCTTCAGGATTTCCTTTTCTACCGAACGAAGGCCTGTATGAGCAATGACGTACCGCTTACCCCTGTCGTCTATCCTGCGCGTCCGCTTGGTTGGTACACTGCCAGCCGTGTGACTTGGCACGTAATCTTCATCCTGCGCCGAGCCCGGACTGGCCGCTGATCCCTTTTTTCGCTTTACCCCACGGCGTTTCGCCGATGGGGTTTTCTTCTCTTCCACCGGGACAGGCTTTGCAGGTGCGCACACGCCACAGCTCCAATCCCCTTCCGGAATGTTCTTCAACCCAGAACACACGGGATGCGAGACCCGCTCGCATGTATCACACATAAGCATGCGCCCGCCGCTCCCACACAAATAACAATCATCCTCATGCCCCTTGGTAGTCGCATCCTCCGGATTCCCCAGGGTCTTCTGAAACTCAGTGTCATCGATAACTGGCGCCAGGTCCCTATGTTGCGTGCAAAACAGCTTAAACCCGTCCTCGACCAGGGCGCAGCCCTCAACAACTGCACACGGAAAGTGATACCTTCTCCCACATCCGTCTGCCGCGCACTGAATATTGGCCCTCGCCCTCCCACACGCGTCCCTCCCGCACACAATCTTGTTAGTCTTAACGACGAGCTTCTGGACGTTATGGAAGCGGCCGCTCTCCTCATACACGCCCTCGCTGAAATTTGCGCAGCGCTCATGCACGAAGAGCAGGCGCTTCTTCTCCGCGGCAGCCGGAAAGATGGGGCCAAACGCGACGCTGCCGCCAAACGCAACGGCGTCCACGCCTTTCGGGCACAAGTAGCATCTCTTATGCGTCGGCGCGGCCGGGTGCGGCGCGCGGGGCATGCCGAGGAGGGCGGCGTTGGCGGCGCCCTCGAAGCCATCGTTGACGACGGGGGTGTCCTTCGGGCGCAGGTTGGCGTCCTCGAGCACGCCCTCGAGCACGCGGAGATACTTGACGACTTCGGAGTAGCGCACGGGGGCATTGCGCACCATGCGCTTGCTTGTCTTTTCCTTGCAGACGGCGCAGCTGGCGTTGTCCATGGCGAGCATGCGGACGACGCAGGGGGAGCAGAAGAGATGGCTGCATTGAAGCTGCCTGGCGTCCTCCATGTATTCTAGACAGATGGGGCACGTGACGGTTTTGGCGAGGTCGTCGACGAGTGGGGCGAGAGCGGTGAGAGAAGGGGCGGACGTGGCGGATGATGGGGGTTCCGGCGGAGCGACTGTGGTCCCGGAGGACGAGGAACAGCGCGGGTCTTCCGGCATGGTGGATGTGGGGGAAGACGGTGAAAGAAAGGGTGGGCTCCGCTTATGTAGAAGTGGAGAAGATTAGGAAAAGTGCAGCCTGTGCGGGAGAGCCAAATGCGGGTGTGCTTGATGAAGCGATGATCAAGTTAGAGCAATCACGCAGGGACCGTGCAAAATGGCGCGAATGGGGTGTTTCGGATGGCTGCCTGTCATGCATGCCGGGTTCTCCATCTTTTTGGCCAAATATTTTAGAAATTCCAAACTGCAACCTCTTCTTCCCCGCATTTCTATCCCGCCGCCGCCTTCGCAGTCGGCAAGGATCACACGTCATTACAAACCCTTTTCCGAAAGCCGTCATGCAGTTCCACTCTGAAGGCGCTGGCCCGGCTCCTCCGGTCGCCCCGACCGCCACACCGAGCGAACCCGTCTCCAAAAAACGCAAGTACCGGAAGGACAAGCCATGGGACCACGCGGGCATCGACCACTGGAAGGTGGACGACTTCAAGCCGGACGACAGCTCGGGCCCTTTCCTGGAAGAGTCGTCCTTCGCGACGCTCTTCCCGCAGTACCGCGAAAAGTATCTGCGCGAGGTGTGGAAGGCGGTGACGGCGGCGCTGGACAAGCACGGCTTGGCGTGCGAGCTGAACCTCATCGAGGGCTCCATGACGGTCAAGACGACGCGGCGGACGTGGGACCCGTACGCCATCCTCAACGCGCGCGACTTGATCAAGCTGCTCGCGCGGTCGGTGCCGCTTGCGCAGGCGGTCAAGGTGTTGCAGGACGAGGTGCAGTGCGACATTGTTAAGATCGGCGGCTTTGTGCACAACAAGGATAGGTTTGTGAAGAGGAGGGAGCGATTGATAGGGCCGAATGGGTCGACGCTCAAGGCGATCGAGCTGCTGACGTCGTGCTACATTTTGGTGCAGGGGAACACGGTGTCGTGCATGGGGGGATACAAAGGATTGAAGCAGGCGCGACGGATCATTGAGGACTGCATGAAGAACGTGCACCCCGTGTATAATATCAAGGCGCTGATGATCAAGCGGGAGCTTGCCAAGGACGCAGAGCTGAAGGAGGAGAACTGGGATCGGTTCTTGCCAAAGTTTAAAAGGAAGAACGTGAAGAAGAAGAAGAAGGGGGCGGGCAAGGAGAAGAAGCCGTACACACCGTTTCCGCCTCTGCCCCAGGCGTCAAAGGTGGACTTGCAGCTCGAGTCTGGAGAGTACTTTATGGGCGAGGAGGGACGCAAGAGGAAGAGGGTGGCGGAGCAGATGGTTGATAGGGTGGCCAAGGCCGAGGAGAAGAAGAAGGAGAGGGAAAAGGCGTACGTGCCGCCAGAGGAGGGGGGCAGACCGGCGAAGAAAGTACGGGGCAACGATGACGACGATGATGTGCGCGCGCTCGCGAAAAAGGTTAAGAAGCAGTCGAAAATGGGGATGAAGGGAAAGAGGAAGAGCGTTTCGTAGACGTGGTAATGCAAAGTTGCGAGCGAAAATATATAAAACAGGGGTGCGAGCTGGAGTTGATCCGGTCACGACCGGTTGTATTTTGTGTGATGCGACTGGTTCTTACCTTGGCTGTCGTCGGCGTTGTTGACAGGGAGTTGCCAAAGGTGGTACAGGTATACGGTGTGTGCGCTGTGCGTGGTGACACTGTGTTGATGTTCACGACGACGGTCGTCGTCGCTTGGCGGCTGAAGCCACAAACTAGCGGTCTAAACTTTAGAGACGTAGGGTATGCAAGGCTGTTGCGGACAGCTCCCTTCCCAAACGGCCAAACAAATTGAGGCGCGCGTGCGGGAAGCCCCGCGCTGCAGATACCCGAAGGGTTTCACTGGGGAAAATGCTAAAACGCATTAAATTTGCCCATACCTGACACGCTTACGGCGGCGCTTTCTGTCGCCCACTCACAAACCAGTCTGAGATTTCTCCCGTCAAACCAAAAGTGCTGCTAACATCCAGCGCGTCCTCATCATTTGAGCAGTCACCAAATTCTCGCCGTCCTCCATCCTATATAAGTATATATATTTATACAATAGCTCCAACCCGCTCCGTTGCCGCCATCCCAAACCCACCCTCCTACCCCGCGCACCTCCGACCGACCGACCGCCATGTCGCCGTCCCGCCCCGCCTTCGCGGCCCCCGCCGCCGTCCCGACGCGCTCCGCCTCCGCTTCCCGCTCCTGCTCGCCGCGCCGCGCCCCGCGCCCGCACCCGCGCCCCGCGCGCCACACCCCGCGCGCCACGGTCGCCGTGCCCTCCGACGCGCCTCACACGGCCCCCGGCTCGGACGATGCCGCCTCCGCCCCGTGGATGCCGCTGCCGGGCCTGGTGCACACCGTCACCACGCCCGAGGAGTTCGACCGCCTTCTGGAGGTCGCCACCGCCGAGAACGCCCTCCTCGTCGCTGACTTCATGGCCTCGTGGTGCCGCAAGTGCCTCTACTTGCTCCCCCGCCTCAAAAAGCTCGCCTCCGAGTACGACCGCGTCTACTACTGCAAGATCGACGTCAACAAGGTCAGGCGCTTGCCCAAGCAGTTCGCCATCCAGAAGATGCCCACCTTCGTCTTCTTGAGAGGCGGCGAGACTGTTGCCACCATCGTGGGCGGCGCCGCACCCCCGAAGGTCGCTGAAACCCTGCGCGCCGCTATTGAGAAGCGTGCCAATGTTTGATGGCTTGGATACCCCGTCATCCGCCCCTGGTCTAGTCGTTTTGCGTCCTGCCCTCTTTTGCCCGCGGCTCTCCCCCTCCCGCGTTTCGCGACGACCTGCGCCCCGGAATCACATCGGGGCTGCCACTGGCGCCACGTTTTTTTTGTTTTTGTTTTGAAGCGGCTTGGAAAAATCCCCACCCAAGACCGTCTTGCCAACTTGAAGGCTTTTTACCCGTTGTGCATTTATTGTAGATATACCTGCAACTAAAAAACCCCGACACGCGTGTTCATCATTCGCAGTTCATGACAAACTCTCTCTAGTCACCTTGATATTCGCGACGATGCATCCGTCACACAACTGCGCGTCGCTCCATACCAGAGCGATCGCGGCGCGTGAGTCCATTGCGATGCGCGGCATCTCACCCCAGTGAAGATGCTCGCCGCCACACTCACGCGGGCCCTATTGTATGTCGCGCCCGCGGCTCACCTTCGCTCAGCACGCACCCCACACAAATTCCCCCTCCCCCCTCCCCCCATACCAGTTGTTCAAAAATAGGTTTACAAGTTATGAAGACTCCTTCTCCGCGGCCTCCTTCACGCCATCAGCCACCTCAGAGAACTTGTCCGAAATCTGTTCTGCGGCCTCCTTTGCCTTCTCCACGCCGCTGTCCACGGCGGCCTGCCCCTCGTCGGCGGCGTCCTTGACCAACATCTCGGCCTCCTCCCCCTTCTCCATGGCCTTACAAACCTGCTTCGCGATTGCCTTTCCCGCGCCGAGCGCGCCGGCGGACACGGCGACGCCCAGGGAAGCGAAGCACACGGCCTCCCACGCGGCGGTGCGGCTGCACACGACGCTGCTGACGGCAACGCCGTCGGCCTCGGCGACCTTGACGAAGCGCAGGGCGGCCAGGCTGAGGCCCAGGCCCGCGCCGGCGAGCGAGGCGCACGCGAGCTTCTTCTCGGCGTCGTTGGCGCGCAGGGCGTCCGCGCGCTGCACGATGGCGTCCTTGTCTAGCGAGGCTAGCTTGGCGAGGCAGGCCGCGCCGACGACGACCGAGCCGATGACGGCGCCCGCGCCCGCGCACTTGGCGACGGCGACCAGCGGCGGGTCGTCCTGCGGTTTGGCCAGCTCCGGGCGCATCGTG